TTTTAACCATCTTCCTAGGAGATTCCAATGCACACTAAACTCTGAGAACATTTGCCATTGAAATAACCATCAGGGCAGTGTGGCCTAGGGGTATGAGGAAGAAAGGATTCGTCCCTTTGGAGGTCCCTCTGCCAGGCAAGTCTCAAAGCGGCATTATTTAGCTCTGTGCATTATAAATTTAGGTAAAATGACTTTTTATCTTCCAGGCTTCATTAGGGCACAGACTTGAGTCCAGTGGAGCTGCCTGGGAGACGATCTGAGTGGGAGAATCTTCTGTCCCCCACAAGAGAGGAGAGACCTGTTTGCAGTGTGAGGCTCATTCACCTGGCTCTCCTCCTTCCCTCAGAATTCTTATGCCTTTAAAACCACACAAACAAAATGCCCTCAGAGCTTCAGGAGTGAGATCTTATCACACCAACCTGTGTGGAGGACACAGTGAGGGTCCTGAGATCCCACTCATGTGAAGTTGAAAGGCAGATACTGTTTGGAAGAGGAGAAACTGAATTTTATCTTACTTTTTAAAAAGAGGTACTGTATTCACATGATACAAAATTCAAAAGGTACACAGGGCATCCTGTGAAAAGTCTCCTCCTGACTGTCCCCAGCCATCCAAGTAGCACCTCTGTGTATTCAGGTGAAAGGGTATCTCTGTACCTGCCCACATTCTCCCTGAACCGAATGTGAAATACAGGAAATGGTAATATACTGTATGCACTGTTCTGCACCTTGCTTTTTAAAATTTGTCAGAGCTTCCTTGTTCTTTTTGCAGCGGCGTAGTATTCCAGTGCGTGGCTATATCATAGTAAAATTTAGTCCTCTATAGATGGAACTTGGGTTATTTCCAGTGTGTTGCTATTACAAACAATACTACAACAGATACCTTGTAAGTATCTCCTTTTAAACGTGAGCAGTTATATCTCTAAGGTCAAGTCCCAGAATGAGATTGTTGGGCTGGAGGATAAATAAATGTGTAATTTTTAAAGCTATTGACAGGCTCCTCCCCATAAATGTTATACCATTTTGCATTCATATGATGAATGAAAAAGAGTCCCTCTCAGTTCACCCCTACAGTTTCATTAACAAAATGTTAAACCTCTGCATCTCTGTCAGCAGGGACAGGCGAGGAGTCCATTCTCTGCATGGTTTGTGTGGGAAGGTGGAGGAGGGAGCAGCTATACTGGGAACCTCGCCAGGGGTCCAGAGCCTGCTTTGCAGACAGCGGTGGGCATTCAGTGGCAACAAAAGAGCCCACTAGCTTTTTAGTTTTTGTTTACGTGTCTGAAATCTATTTTGAAATTTTAATTTAAAAATTAACAGTAGAATTGACTTTATGTTTGGCATAAAGTTCCATGAATGTTAATACATGTATTGATCTGAGTGACCCCCACTAAAATAAGGAACAGTTGCATCATCCTCAAACCTCCCTCCTCCCATCCCTTTGGAGTCACAACCTCCCCTCACCCCGAAACCCCTAGGCAACTGCTGATCAATTCTCCATCACTATGGTTTTATCTTTTCGAGAATGTTATCTAAATGGAACTACACAGTATGTATCCCTTGGAGCTTGACTTCTTCGGTTCAGCATAATTTCCTGGAGGCTTCATCCAAGCTGTTGCACACATCAGTAGTGTGTTGCTTTTTACTGCTGAGAAGTATCACAGTTGATTTACCCGTTCACCCATTCCGAGCATTGGAGTTGTTTCCAGTTTGGGCTGATTATTAATAAAACTGCTATAAGCATGCACGTACCATTATTTGTGGGAACATAAGTTTTAGTTTCTCCCTAGTATAATTTTCATACTTTATTATGAGTAAGCTTAGGGATATTTTCGTACATTTAAGAGACATTTGTATTTCCTTTTCTGTTATCTGCTCATTTCTTTTATCCATTTTTCTTTTTGGTGGTTGTTGATTTTTATTTTAGAAAACTTGGTTTAAGGGAGATGACAGGACATCCAGATGGAAATGTTTAGCATTCAATTAAAACATACGAGCCTCAATTTTGAGAGAGAGGCTCAAAGATGTGGAATTGAGAGGCACACTGATAGGGAATGGAGAGACGAAGCCAGGGAGCTATGTGAAGTCGAGAGAAACATGCAAGGCTTGAAGACAGAATCTGTACAAATGCCCATGTTTAGGATGTGGAAAGAGGAAGAGGTAAAGGAAGAAATCGAGAAAGAGACTTCTGAGAGGTCACAGAAGATTCGGGCTATTTTAGGGTAACATTAATAAAAGCTGAATTTTAAAGGTCTGATAAGTAAAGGGTTTAAATCCCAGAGCACAACGTCAAGAGAGAGACAGAGCATCTGTCTCCAAGAATTCCAAATAACAGGCCTACAGTTCATCCTGATTGTTGTAGCAAGGTCACAAGATTACCCCTGCACTATTCATTATGAAAGGAATTCAGTGCATTGATTGGCCTACCTATGTCATGTGCTTCAACTCCATAATTTCCCGGAACCTCATGGATCCCCAAGGGGAAATATGGGGCTGTTGGAAGACTTAGATGCTGAAGAAACAGCCAATGAATGTCCAGTGAGTGGCCTTTGAGAGTGGCATATCATCTGAGTGCAGGAGCTTAGAAGCAGCTGCACATCAAGTTGAGAGACTGGAGGCAACACGTGTAGAAAACCCAAAGAGTTTGGCTCAATTTTGGTAACCAGGAAGCCTAAATGAAGGATTTGTTTTCCCCAAAATTAAGGCAATATCGGTGCATATTCATACACCCAAGAAAAGACACCACAGGGAGGGAGGCTGCAGAGATGGTGAAGCCTGAGGGGATAGTGGAGGGGAACTGAAGTGTGCACTGGTGAAGCCCTGGAGCCAGGTACAGGCTGTGAGGACACTCAACTCTCCCTCTGAGAGGCAGGCAGTCTTTCTCATCCACCCTCACTCCTCCCCCATCCACTATCACTCTCCCCCATCCACTCTCACTTCCTCCACACCCTCACTCCTCGCCTACCACCCTCACTCCTGCTCCATCCACCCTCACTCCTCCCCCATCCACCCGCACTCCTCCCTCATCCACCCTCACTCCTCCTCCATCCACCCTCACTCCTCAACCATCCACCCTCACTCCTCCCCATCCACCCTCACTCCTCCCTCATCCACCCTCACTCCTCCCCATCCACCCTCACTCCTCCCCATCCACCCTCACTCCTCCCCATCCACCCTCACTCCTCCCTCATCCACCCTCACTCCTCCCCATCCACCCTCACTCCTCCCTCATCCACCCTCACTCCTCCCCATCCACTCTCACTCCTCCCCCATCCACCCTCACTCCTCCCTCCCTCACTCCTCGCCTACTACCCTCACTCCTCCTCCGCCCACCCTCGCTCCTCCCCCATCCACCCTCACTCCTCCCCATCCACCCTCACTCCTCCCCATCCCCACTCCTCCCCCCATCCCCTCACTCCTCCCCATCCACCCTCACTCCTCCCCATCCACTCTCATTCCTCCCCCATCCACCCTTACTCTTCCCCCATCCACCCTGACTCCTCCCCCCTCACTCCTTCCCCATCCACCCTCACTCCTCCCCCCTCACTCCTTCCCCATCCACCCTCACTCCTTCCCCATCCACCCTTAGTTCTCCCACATCCACCCTGACTCCTCCCTGCCCCTGTCTACCCTCCCAACTGCGGTCAATCTTTTTAAAGTGAAAACCCAGTCATGTTGCTACCCAGTGAGAGCTACTTCAGGAACTCAGGCTGCTCCCAGGATGTAGTACTCATGGCATGGGTTGGACTTTAGGGCCCTGTGTGAAGTGGCTCCTGCCTGTGTTCACTCTCTCCTCTCCAGCCCCCAGGGACCATCAAGATCCCTAGTCAACCTCTTTCTCTCTGAAATAATGGTAACGCCCTGTCTCTTTACCAGACCGTGAGGTCCAGGATAGGTGGGGATGGTGTGTGTTTGGTTCATCTGGATCCTCTAGCACTGTGCTTGGCAAACAGTAGGTGCTCATACATGGCCACTGTATGAAGGATAGATGGATGGATACCCCCTAATCTGTGAAACTTGCTGTTGCCTTAGTGATTATTTCTAAGATCTAATTCTCACCCATTGTTTATCCAAATCAGATGTCATTGTATTAGACACTAAACAAGAGAAATAAATAATGAAGTTATTAGAAAAAGCAAGACCAAGCCTTAGAATTCTATTATACATATAGGAAAAAAAGAATATAGGGAAACATGCAAACTTAGGGAAAGTGCTTAACTCTAGGTATTGAAACTAAAAATTGATTAATTATATGGTGCAAAGAGAAGACTAAGGAAAGAGGGACATGTGGGACATCAAGGAGTTAAAGATATTTTAAGCAGGAAAGGGAGGAGGCAATGGAAGAAAGCAAGCTACTGTTCTAAAGAATGGGATTAATTAAATAAAGCATGGTACAACTGCTCAACGAAATTGTATGCACACTGTTTGAAATCCTGTCTCTGAAGGCGGGGTAGTAGTGCCAAGGCTGACGCAGAAGAATTTTGGTGCTACCACATCCAAATATCTCCTCAAACCACCCCAAAGGAACATGTCCTCTACATAACAATGATGTGCTTGCTGTGTACATTTGGCTCCCCCAGACGCCAGCTTCCCCCTTCAGCCAGCCTGCAGCCCAATCCCCACCTGCCAAGAAGGGATGGTGACACCTCTGTGAAGATGGTGACAGCATTTGTGATATAACTGTCAAAATACTAGATTTATATAAGTTTGAAGGACAATGAGATTACAGTTATTCATTAAGAAAACAAATACAGAATTTATTCCAAAAGGTTAAAAAGGTGAAAGAAGATACGTAACATGAGTAGTATGGTTGCTGGGAGCATTTTTTCCCATTTTCACTTCAAATTTTTACAACTTTACACTTTCTTTGAACATGTACTGTAAAATAAAACAATGCAAAAATTGTGTTTTAAATATCAAACTAACCATATTTGACTCAAATTATACCTGTATACAAGGAAACACTCATTGGTTCACACTGTTCTTTTCTCTCCTTCCCAAAGGATGTGCTGGGTGGCGTCCTGATCACCGCACTCCTCATCGTCCTCACCTACCCTGCCTGGACCTTCATTGACCGCCTGGACTCAGCCAGCCCCCTCTTCCCCGTGTGTGTCATAGTTGTGCCGTTCTTCCTGTGTTACAATTACCCTGTTTCTGATTACTACAGCCCAACCCGGGCGGACACCACCACCATTCTGGCTGCTGGGGCTGGAGTGACCATAGGATTCTGGATCAACCACTCCTTCCAGCTTGTATCCCAGCCGGCTGAACCTCTCCCTGTCATTCAGAACATCCCACCGCTCACCACCGACATGTTCATTTTGGGTCTGACCAAATTTGCAGTGGGAATTGTGTTGATCCTCTTGGTTCGTCAGCTCGTACAAAACCTCTCGCTGCAAGTGCTATACTCATGGTTCAAGGTGGTCACCAGGAACAAGGAGGCCAGACGGAGACTGGAGATTGAAGTGCCTTACAAGTTTGTTACCTACACATCTGTTGGCATCTGCGCTACAACCTTTGTGCCAATGCTGCACAGGTTTCTGGGATTACCCTGAGTCTCAAACAGTTGGAAACTAGCCCACTGGACATGAGAGCCAAGACATAGGAAAGTTATTGGTAGGCAAATCTTGACCACTTATTTTTCTTTAACAACAACAACAAAAAAGTCATACGGCTGTCTTGCTACTACTAGATAAATGATGCTGCTGTGTGAAAGGAAAAACTATCTCATAGCGGTCATTAGTCTGTAATGGTTACGCTACAGCTGAACCCAGGCTAAAATCCATAATCTAGATCTTTAAAGGCACACCCCCACCCCGGCCCCTGCTCCTCTTTCTGTTGCATGGACTTTGGACCTAGTCATGGGCTGGCAGGAATTGTAGCCTGGCTTAGGAATAGCTAGGAGCCCCACTGGGTTCAGGAGAGCCAACAGGGATGGGGTGATCTGGGAGGCTGGAGATACAGCCTTTCTTTTCCATTACAACCTTGCCTAGCACGGTGTCTTATTTCCAAAATAGGAACCTTGGTCCAGGAGAAGGGGTGGCACCGTATAAAAGTGCATTTCTTGGACAGGGTGACTTCCTTATCGTTTATTTGGTGTTTTTTTGTTTTGTTTTGTTTGAGACAGGATCTTGCTGTTTTCCAGGCTGTAGTATAGTGGCACAATCTCAGCTCACTGCAAAATCTGCCTCCTGGGCTCAAGCGATCCTCCTGCTTCAGCCTCCTGAGTAGCTGGGACTATAAGCATGGACCACCATGCCCAGCTAATTTTTGTAGAGACACGGTTTCGCCGTGTTGCCCAGGCATGTCTCAAACTCCTGGGCTTAAGCGATCCGCCCACCTCAGCCTCCCAAAGTGCTGGGATTACAGGCATGAGCCACTGTGCCCAGCCTCCTCCTTGTTATGATCAAATTAGACTTACTGGTTGGGTGGTAAGACGACTGTGAAAGAAAGCTCACTGTGAGAGATGAAAGGCGGAGGCAGAGCTGTGAGGTCATGGGGAAAAGCCTGCTTTCCTTATGAGCCTGGTGTTCATGCTGAAATAGGGATCTGCTCTTCCTTGTTTCCATGGATTTTGCAGGATTCCAGGTACCATTAACACACTCTTCTGACCCACGAAACAAACTGGCTGCTCGCACCTCACCAAACAGGTTGGGGGTTAGCCTTCAACACAGGTGGATACATCTGGGATTCACTGAGATTCTCAACCTTTCTTGCTTCCTAGTGGTTTGGGACAGGCCCTCTGCCCATTGTCAGCAGTGAGCAGTGTTTTGCTTTCGTACAAACCTGGAAGGCACTGGCATCTGCCTAGGAAAGTGGATCCGTAGAAGAACAGATGAATGCAATCCTTTCTGGAGCCTGACAAAGAAGGGATAGGCTTCCTTGACATTGCCTGGTCCTGACAAGGCCTCCCTGACATTACTCCTCCAATTTCACTGTTATCTTCTGTAAATCTATTCTCTCATCTACTGAATAGAATCAGGCTCCCTTTTTGTCTTCCCACCTCTTATCTCTTGGCAATTTTAAGGGTAATGAATGCAAGAACAACTTTAGTGTCTCTAGGGAAAAAAAGCCAACCAAATACAAAGCCCATTAAGTCTACTAGGGTGAGTCCTCTTAACATGGGAAGGTGATGATTATGCAAACACTAGAGTTCCCTCCTCTTCAGTTCCTAAAAATAAGGAACGGGTATCAAGAACTGTTTTTAAAGTTAGTGTAACTATCGTTAACAAAGTATCCATTGAGGTGTAGTGCCTGTAGGACTGAAGCCAGTGCTTTACCAACCCAACACATCATCACCATGTGCATACTCGGAAAAAATTAGCGTCCTTAAAAGTTACAGAGGCTCTTAACGTGTTAAAACTGAAAAATCACATTTTTCTTTATTTCAAATATGTTCTACAGCCTTATGGTTGTGACGATATTTAGTATGTAACTTAGCGTTCCAATTTCTTAATAATTTTTAGCAAAACATCCTGTTTTTACTTAAAATTCTTCTCACATTTATTATAGTTAGAAGGCAAAGATCAAGATGACCTGCCATTTGACTGCTTTTACATCAAATTCTGCCCAGTATTTGCAGCACAACTCAGGGGAAGGGCCTTAGCTTGCAGGTACTCCCAGCCTGCATCTGCCCCTGCAGAGCAGTGGCTGTCAGCTGGATGAGGCACTTTTCTGTAATTCCATCCGCACGGCTGCCCAGCCAGAGTTCACAACACCGGATATCTACACAGAATAATTGTGGTTGACTTGTCTGAAGTCAACTGACAAAAGGATCAGCTTTTCCCACGTGTATCTTTTAAAAAGAGGGATTGTGATCATTGTCACAGCAGTGGGTGTTGGCATCTCATATATATGATATACATATCATATACATAATTTTTACTGCTGTCTCTATTTTTAAGTCCCAACAATAGGAAGGCCGATCAGCTATACTGATATATTTAAGGCTGTCCTTACCTAATTTGGGTTGAGGCTGACTATATCAGCCACAGCACATTAAAGAATGAGTCAATGATTTGTCATAGGTTGGTCACTTTTTAAGTATCTGATTACTGCAACTGGAGAATGAAAAGTATATATTGGTAATGCCAACCTCAGTTTTTGAGCACTCCTGCTCTGTGGTGTAGAATCAGAAAAAAATCGATCGGGGAAAAAAAAGGCATTACCTGATTCACACTCTTGCCTTGCTAGCCCTCTTCCATTCATTTCTCACACAGCACTTTGCTCTGTTAAATCCTCTCTCACTCTCACACCATTGCATGCCCCTTCAAAGGGTATGGTTCAGCTCCTTTCAAGACATTTGGAGTTTCTCTCTGGGGAAGGAGTGCCCCCTACTGGTCTGGCTTCAGTCTAGGTCCAGGGTCCCTCTCTTGATCTGGCGTCTTGAAGATTAATTTAAAAGGCAAGCTCATCACAATGTAAGCCTATGGTCTGGTCAAACTTGCTTTTGGGAACTGTGACACCAAAGCCCCCAGGATTATCTGCCCCTCCAGGAGTCAGATAGAATGACATGCCTTTATCCTAATTGTCCACATTCCACCCCCAACCCACTGCCACTGTGGGCCAAGCCATCCATCTTGCAATCTTCATCTAAAACAGCTCTCATTTCATGCCAGTTTTGCTCTAACCTGCACCGTCACAATATATTCAGAAGATGAAAACGTAGAAGGCACCCCTGAATTAAAAACACTTACATGGTAGTGGCTGGAATTACTCTAAAACATACCCAGTGATCTCACTGTAACATGGGATTTTCTCACCCAAATAGGCAACTCATGCTTCCTGAGTGTAATCAAAGCATGTGGTGTTTTCGCGCCATATGCGCCAGATTTCTATTTTAGAAACCTTCAGCTGTCTTGCTTATGTACCATATGTAAATTTATTCTTTTTAAAATCACTTTTATTTGATTTTGACTTATTAAATGCTTTAAAAGCCAGTGTTCTGTTTCCTTTGATTTTTTTCTTAACGTAGACCTTTTTCTCTGAGTTCACTGGACCTGAGTTGAAAAGGGGACAAAAATAAGAGGCAGGCTACATAATTCTCTGTTTCTGTCATAATCCAATCATGTGCAAATGTTGGCGAGCCACGGAGGGCCCACAGGTGTAACAGGAAAGAAGTGGTATTTTGGTATCCTTAAAGCCCCTCCTCTACTCCATGATACTAAAGAACCTCCTTTTACCTTATATGGAGTTAAATGTCACTATGTTTTGAAAGGTAAATTGTTGTAAGTTTTGCTAGTTAAGGTAAGTAAAAGGTTTTTAGAGATGAGTTCTCTATCAGCTGAACCAAATAAACACAACCGTAATTCAAATTCACAGCCTATCACTGCAATGATCTGCTCTGCCTTTAAGCATCCCAAATTTGCTATTTGTGATGGTTCATACAGTTGACACTGCCCCTTATTTGCAAGGGCGGACCTAGGACTCTATTTGTACTTCGAGCAGGACGTAGGAGATGTAACGCTCCAACCTATCCTGTGCGGTTTTCGCAGGACAGAGAAGACACAGCGGCAGAGAATTACAATTCAAGAGCCAAAGGGTTAAGGCTGTAGGGAAGAGAAAATGATGACATGGGAACTGGGAGGAGGGGGAGACTGCATGAGCGAGGTTTAGAGAACAGATGGGGTTTGCACAGGGAATGTGACAGGAAGTAGGTAGGAGATGGTACTCCATGGCTACAGAACAGCTTGTCTGAGGCACTTCCCAAACACCTCCGGTTCTTACAAGAAAAAACCAAACCATGTTGGTGATTGTAAGACTAACAGTGGTGGTGGTGTAATAATGGATGAGCACAGGGCTGTGATACTGCGAAATCAAACCACATGAACGAGAAGTGTGAGAAGCCCCTCCCAGAGGGGGTGACGTCCAGAGGTAACTTCAGACTCCTTTCATCACTCCTCATTGAAATACAGTTGCCCCCTGAACAACTCGGAGCTCAGGTGTGCCAACCTCCTATGTAGTAAAAATGCATATAACTTACAACTCCCCCAAAACTTAACGACTAATAGTCTGCCGTAAATGGGAAGGCTTTCTGATGGCACGATCAGTAGATTACCACATATCTCATATGTTATAAGCATTACATACTGTATTCTTACAATAAAGTAAACTAGAGAAAAGAAAATGTTAAGAAAATCATAAGGAAAATACATTTACCCTTCATTAAGTGGAAGAGGATCATCACGAAAGTCTTCATCCTCATCATCTTCATGTTGAGGAGGCTGAAGAGGAGGAGAAAGAGGAAGAGAGGGGAGAGGAAGGGTTGTTCTTACTGTGTCGGGGGTGGCAGAGGCCGGAGAAAATCCATATACCACTGAACATGTACAGTTCAAACCCATCTTGTTCAAGGGTTAACTGTACTCACCAGTCAGCCCGAGCACCTTGCCCCTCTGCCATCTCTGCATGCACAGCGTCATTCCCGTCCTTCTTGTTCCTCTCTTGGTGGACATGACCAACAGCTGGGACCTCCTTCTGTGTCCTTCATGCCCACTCCCTTCCTCAGTCTTCTCTTTGCTCAGTTCCCTGAATTCGTCATGTGAAACTTCATTTTAAAAGTATTTTACCATGATCCTGGCTCTTCAGGGAACTTCAAAATGCTCCAAGTCTTTATTTAATGATTGTGAATGAAGCCCTCATCTTCTAGTAAGAGGCTACCCAAGAGCCAAGTGGAACAGCAATATACACCTATCTCATTTGAGACAAGAGATGTTTTCCTCAAAGCTGCTCGTGTTTTGATTTAACTTGAATTTTAACTGCACGTATGGGTTTGCCGTTAAAATTCAAGTTAAAATTTTGATTCTTCATTTCTGTGAACATAAGACTTTAATAGGTGACTCTGTGCACACCATGCATCCATTTTTTTTTCTTAAAATGAGACACATCTGTAGTACAGACTTGGATATTTACAGAATGCACATTAAGAAGACATCACAGTTCAATGTGGGCCATGAAGAGAATGTTAAAGTCTTAAAACTGTAGCCACATGAGACAGGGAGCCATACAAAACCAAAAATAGTAATTCTTTTTCCACGCCTGTCTATAAGGCATACAAAAACAAACAAGAAAAGGAAGGATGTAGCTAGGAGTTCCTCTGTAATGCTTCTTTAACACACACACTCAACACTCTCTCTCTCTATGGCAAGCCAGATTCTGCCCAATGCAGGTGTTCAAATGTCAATTCCTCTTTAATATACACAAAGATGGCCTCAGATCATTGGGGGTGAGCCAGGGTGACAATTGGGTGCTGCCTTAATGCCCATGCCTGCAAGAGTCTTGTAATCTGCCTGTATCCATGAGTGCGGATAGGAGTGAAGCCTCTTGGGCTTCCAGTCTGCAGTGTCTCTGTCACGTGGAAACCTGATGGGTGCCACTGTAAGTGGAGCCAATTATGCACAGTGCTCACTAAACACAGACCATTTTAGCCTTCCTAACTGGCCACCAATAAAAAGATGCTGAAGTATCCTGAAGATCAAACAGAGATTTCCACGATGCCTCAATACAAAGTCCAGTCTGGGCCTCCGCGTGACAGGCCTTGTGCCTAGTGTTTTGCACAAGTCATCTCACCTACGTGATTTGCTTAAGGGGCACCTCTGTCTGGCTATCTTGTGTCGTCTGCCCCAGTGTCACCCAAGTGCTCCTTGTTTAAATGTTCTGCCCAAGACTCACGCCAAAAAATCTCTAGTTAATCCCACCTATCTCCAGTGCGGCTTTTTCTCAGTACCTTTCCAGCAACAAACGTGACTGTTTATTCTGTGTGTCACAGCTGGTTTCTTGTCAGCCCTAAGCAGTTGGTTATTGTAGGGACAGGCGTATTTTATGCCTGACAAAAAGCTGTGACATGCGGAAAGCAGAACATTTCTTTTGCTATCAGGTTTGATATCAACCAGGCACATTTTCTCCACGTCTTCACCTTTCCGCCTAGAAGGCCAGATTTACTTCATGTCTCCAAGTCTCTGATTCCAGCGGTGTATGCAGCAGCTCTCTCTCACAGCCTCACCAGCGCTCCTCACGTGATGGATTCTTCCCCAAATGTTTTCTTTTCTTCTTTTTTGAGACAGGGTCTCACTGTGTCACCCAGGCTGGAGTGCTGTGTGGTGCAATCCTGGCTCACATGGCAGCTACAGGCGCACACCACCATGCCTAGCTAATTTTTGTTTTTTATATATATATATATATTTTTTTTTTTTTGGTTGGGGGGTGGGTAGAGATGGAGTTTTGCTATGTTGCCCATGCTATTCACTAACTCCTGGGCTTTAGAGATCCGCCTACCTCAGCCTCCCAAAGTGCTGGGATTACAGGCATGAGCCACCATACCCAGCCTTCAAATGTTTTCTCATGGAGATTCATGCCTCTTTCCTGCCTTTCTTCAACAGAAACAAGGAAGGCCAAACCTTAGAGATGAAGAATGAAAAGCTTGAGTGTGGACCTTGAGTATATTCTCAGCACACTCCATTAGTCACATCGGAAGAAAAAAACCTACAGGGTTTGGTCAGACATAATTCAATTAGACCCTTTGTTGGCGATATTTATTCAACTCACAGTCTAGCTACAATATTCATAGTCATCCTTTCTGCCTACTAGAAAGTCAAAGCAGAGAATACCTGAACATGAAGTAGACAGCGTGGACTCAAACCGCTTTGCGTCTGCGTTGCCCCTCTTGCTGCCTGGCCCATTTGTCAAGCACAGTTGTTTAGCAGCCCTTCTTTTATCCAAGCAGGTCGTGTTCCCTACATGGGCTCTGGTCAGGGCTCTGAGATGACCTGTGCAAAACACTAGGCACGACACCTGTCACGCGGAGGCCCGGACTGGGGTTTGTATTGAGGCATGGTGGAAATCTCTCTCTCATCTTCAGGATACTTCAGCGTCTTTTTATTAGTGGCTAACCAGGAAGGCTAAAATGATCTGTGTTTAGTGTGCACTGTGCATAACTGACCCCACTCACAGCAGCACCCATCAGGTTTCCAGGTAACAGAGACGCTGCAGACTGGAAGCCCAGGAGGCTTCACTCCTATCTGCACTCATGGATACAGGCAGATTAGGGAACTGTTGCAGACTGTCCCAGAGGTGTACTGCTGCCTTGAATTTTATCATGCATGCCACTCTCTACTTTTTGAATGCAAGTTTTCAATAATGTGTTTTAGTTTGCTGGGACTGTCACAACAAAAGACTACAGGTTGGGTGGTTTCAATAAAAGAATTTTATTTCTCACAGTTCTGGAGGCTGGAAGTCCAAGATCAAGGTGCCAGCAAAATAGGTTTCATTCTGATCCCTCTTCTAGCTTGCCAGTGGCCACCATGTTGCTGTGTGGTCACGTCACCTCTCCTGTATGTGTGCGCCAGGTAGGCAGAGAAACAGGGCAAGCTCTCTGATGTTTCTTATCAGGCCACTGAGCTGGTCATGAGGGCCCCCCTCTCATGACCTCATCTAGCTCTAATCACCTGCCAAAGGCCTCATCTCCAAAGACCATCACACTGGAGGTCAGAGGGTCAACATGAATTTGTGGGGATACATTCAGTCCATAATAATATAAAAGTTATTCAAGGCCCTAATAACATAACAAGCTAGAAGTTGGATAGCATATTCTGCTTAAGGCAATGGTGTCCCTTGAAGGCTATCTTTCTGCTTTTGGATAAAATGGACAGAAGGGCCAAAGTCAATACTCAAGTATTAGGGTTAGTGATGTTACAGAAAACATCAAGCACAAACAGATTAAGATTGAGAAGCAAGATTGTGAACAATGTTCTCTCTCACCAAGCTGATGCGCCCATCATTGCTGAGAGCAGGGGCAGTGGTTAGGCTGGCTAGTTTGTAGTAGATTACTCCTGTTTAAAATGTGAGAATAATCATTCAACATGTTTTACATTCAAAACACATCTTTTGACCCAGAGACTCCTACATCTAAGATGTAAGGTGCTGGAATAATATATTGTTCAAGTACAAACGTCACATCAAAGAAATATCTAATGAACTCTACGCATCTCTGAATGTGTCTGTCAAATGTGAATATTTATACAGTCTTGCACCCATTAGGACTGGTTTTCCTTGGGGCCCTAAGCCGTGCTATTTTGCAGGATGGGGGGTTCATTGGAGCAGTGTTTATAATTTCAAACAGTTGGAAACGACTGAATGTCCACCAACAGGGGAATAACTGAACTATTATGGACATCTGTACAATAGAATATTACCTCATTTAAAAGAATGAGATAGGTCTATAGGCACTGACCTGAAAAAATGGGACATATTAAGTAAAATGTCATGAGAGATATATAAAATAAAAAACAAAACTTGTTGCAAACCAGTATGTAGAGCATAACCCCCCAAAAAACGGGAGCAGGTGTGTGTGGCTGACTGTACAAATCAAGGAAAATGTCCAAACTAAGGAAACAATACAGGCTAAATTGTTAAGAGTGATTAGTTACTTTAGGGAATCAGAAGGAAGAAAGGTAGATTAGCTCAGGAAGACCATAGTTTGAACAGGTTTTTTAAAGTATTGGACTTAACAAGTTTTAACTTTTTGTTTTCTATTATTTTTATATTAAGTGTAGAAAGTCCCATTATTTACTTTTGCATAAATAAATAATGCAAATCAGCGAGTGGGCTGTAGACTCCAAGTCACTCTTACATAGTGTCTCAAACTCATTTATTGGCTATGCGACTTCTAAGTAAGTTATTGATCTCTCTGAAACTCAACTGTTTTCACCCTACATATCAGGGAGAATTCCTACTCTCATACCATTATTAAACCAAAAAAATTAAAATGTGAAAGAAAAGCAATTCAAAAATAAAAACAGAAGAGCAGGCCAGGCGCCTGTAATCCCAGCACTTTGGGAGGCACCGGTGGGCAGATTGCCTAAAGTCAGAAGTTCGAGACCAGCCTAGTCAACATGGTGAAACCCTATCTCTACTAAAAATACAAACATTATCCAGGCATGGTGGTGCACGCCTGTAGTCCTAGCTACTCGGGAAGCTGAGGCAGGAGAACACCTCCACCAGGAGGTGGAGGCTGCAGTGGGCCAAGATCGCCCCACTGCGCTCCAGCCTGGGTGACAAAGCAAGACTCCGTCTAAACAAACAAACAAACAAAAACCAGAAGAGCACTGCAGGACTGTCAGGCTGTAGTGGCTGTAGTGGTAGAATTTAAGTTTCTAAGCTAGAACAAAAATCAATTCCATTTAATTTTCACTTTAATACTACAGCTCCCAGTTTTTACTAAGAAGGTGTGCATCTTCTGTAATAAAGGCTTTTGGCAGTACTCACAGACTGCCCTGGCTCCAGTTCAAATGCTTCACCAGGGACAAGCATAAGAGGATCTGGCTGCAGAGCCTCGACTCGTGAGCTGAAGGTTCGCTTCTTCCAACGCGGCCGACGCTGTTTTTCTTCCTACCATTTCCTGCTTCCAAAGGCAGAAACATCTACATGATGCATGGAGTTGATCTTTCCCCTTTCAGGCTGGGATATACAATTATATACAATTAGGCATTAGTGGGTTTTTCATTACAAGTAATTTTGGCCACCCCCAAAAATATCCAGGTGGGTAGCTGCTGACAGAACAAATGGTTCCACCTACTTCAACAATGGCTATCATATGATGATCCCTAAGCCATGATTTTAACTAGAGCGAACCTGAAACTAAAGGAGAATATATCATTAATAGTTGTGGACCAGTGAGCCATCCTGAACAGAACTGCCAATTCTACAGTTCAGGCTATTTCTCTAGCCATTTATCAACTGGTGTTATGTAGTTAAAATTAGTAAAATACTACATGTTACATTACATTCTTTTTCTCCCAGCTTTACGAAGGTATAACCTACACCTGAAGTACACGTACCACCTCAATTAAGATAAAATTTCCATCACCCAAAAAGTTTCCTCTTAACCCACTGCAGTCAGTGCTCTTTCCTGAGCTCCTGCCAACCAACCTGCTTTTGGCTTATTTAGACTCCTATGTAAATAGAATTAAAGAGTTTTTTGTGTCTCTTGCTTTCACTTAGCATACTGTTTTGAAATTCATTCATGTTGTTTTGAGGATCAGTAGTTCATTCCTTCTTATTGCTGAGAAGTATTCCATAGTATGGATAGACTGCAATTTGTAACTACTGTAAGTAACACTGTGAACACTCGCATAAAAATCTTTGGCCATATGGGTAAACCTAGGAATAGAATGGCTAGATGGTAGGTGTATGTTTCAAGAGACTGCCAAGCTATTTTCTAAAGTCACAATGTAACATTTTACATTATGACTCACCAGCAGTGCATGAAAAGTTCCACTTGCTCCAGTCTCAGCAATATTTGATTTATGGGTCTTAAATTTTAGCCATTTTAATGGGTATGCAGTTTATCATTGTGGATTTTATTTGCATTTCCCTGATGACTAATGACATTGAGGATCTTTTCAAGTGCTCACTGGCCATTCATATATCTTCTTTGGGGAAATGTTTGTTCAACTCTTGCACATTTTAAAAAAACGGTTGTTTTATTTTTATTATTAAGTTTTAAGAAATCTTCATGCATGCTGGATACAAGTCCTTTTGGCACGCATTATTTTTAAAGGGCATATTTCATTTTTAAAATGTTGTAAGGATCTGCTCACAACAGAGCTGTGAAGGATCAGATGGAAGTCTGTGTATTCACAAATCTTGCAAGTTAGACACTACTGCCCCAATTCAAGGTTGTAATATGGTTGGGTTTTCTCCTAGTAGTAGATTCAGCAAAAGATCCATAAACATAATTCTTATTTCACTATCTTTGTTAGCTATATCTTTTTTTGTAGACTGAATCTCACTGTGTCACCCAGGCTGGAGGGCAGTGGCACAATCTCGGCTCACTGCAACATCCACCTCCCGGTTCAAGAGATTTTCCTGACTCAGTCTCCCAAGTAGCTGGGACTGCAGGCTCACACCACCATGCCTTGCTAATTTTTATATTTTTAGTAGAAATGGCATTTCGTCATGTTGGTCAGGCTGATCTCGAACTATTGGCCTCAAGTGATCTGCCCACCTCAGTCTCCCAAAGTGCCAGGATTACAGGCATGAGCTGCAGCACGCCCGGTCTTTGTTAGCTATTTCTACTGGGACTCTAAAGTATTACATTTTATCATATTTCTTATTACTTCAATAGTACCTGGGAACTTCTCTCAAACATTAGACCCAGCTTTTTTTCAGAGATGGTACCTACTGGAGAATTCTAGATTGAAGTAAGAAAGGAAATTGGGATATAAAATAAGGAGGATTGGCTGAAGCTTAGCTTCAGGAAAAAAGAGGCCTAATATCTCCCTATAAGAGAGAAACTAGTATCTCAATTAAGTATTTAAAACCATGATTTTATAACTGACTGATTACAGTAACACGTATGGCCTATGGCAAAAATAAGCTTCTCATTGTTTCCTAATGTTCATAATGCATTGATACCAATACTTGTCCATTTTAACTCTTACAGCAGAACAGATCTTCGTTGCATGTACTCCATCTTAGAGTATCACAGAGTAAAAAATACCTGTGCACCCTCACATATTTTGAATCCTTGTATTACAGAATTTTCTTTCACTTTAAACTGATCTCAGAAGCTATAATTGTTGGACCATAATTGATTCTTAAACGTTTTCTAAAAATATCGTTATTTTAGTGTTTCTCAATGATGAATACATGTCAAATGTAGAAAATCAAAGCTAAACCCCTCAGTTATCTCAAACTCACGCAACATGAACTCTCATCAATTATCTTGTTTTATCAATAAAGAAAGAAATGGAATCTTGCTATGCAGGAGTAATCCGCTCCAATGTGATGCTCTGATGTCTGAGGAGCACATCTGCCTTTCAGAACAGATCCTGCACTCTGCCAGTGCATTTCTCTGGCACTCCACAGGGCTTTTACCCAACAATGCAGCTTCACACAGACACATTCGCATATGGCACAAGCTGGTCTAATGCAGGGAAAGGGTGGTCTCTACCCACACAGCCAGACAGTGCTTTCTACTTTATTAAACATTAAAGCCCGAATAGATGTTCCCCGTGGAGGAAGACTAAAGGACACCGGGGGAGGAGAAAGGGACACTTGGGAAGAGAATCACACCACAGAGACCAATCTTCACAAAAAGGGTCCAATATTGATTTCTAGCGAGGAGCAGGGCATGGTCAGCTCAAACTTGGTGATAACGTCAGGATGAAGGACCCCAAGCTTCCCAACACTTTGACCCCTGGCAAAGATCTCTGCACATCGCCCGGGGAAGAAAGCAGGCCCTGAAAAAGACAAAGTGAAAGAAAAATCAATGTTTCTTCTGGCAAAATGTCAATAGACATTTAACACTCAAAGCCCACTAGTCTACTTTAAAAATAACTATTCTTTAAACCACTGGCTATGAAAAGAGAACGCTTCCTCATACTTTCTAGTATTTAAAAGAAGAATTTGCTATCAAGAAACTCTTGCAAGGAAAAAATCAGGGGCAAATATGAAAATAAGGGTCCTGTATTTTTAGTAACAGGGGCCCGAGCAGGAATGATGAAATCATGGAGGCTGCTGAAGGCCCACAGTCAGAAGTCCTAGGGGACCTCTGCCTGCACTTGGAACCGGTCCTAAAAAGGACAAAAGGCAAAATATGAAACATAAAACTGATGAACTTGCATGGGAAGAACCTGTTTTCAAACAGGTTTTTCCATAGCAACGCTCACTGGATAAGACATCGACACTGAATTCATTTGCTCTGTACAAAGTCACTCTTTCTCACCTTATTACATAAAGAAACCGGAGCCACAGTATCACAGGCCCGCTACCGGGGGAACCACACCTCTGATGACAGGCCATGCTACCAAAGGCAACCCACATTCCCATCTGAAAACAGCTTTCTAGGCAGTTTTGGAGCATCTACTGTAAAACCACAGCAAAGGTCAGCCCAACACAAGTCTGGGTTGATGCCTCGTTTACTTCAAGACAGGCAGAAAGTTCTCCCTTCATCAGTGCCAATGCACTGATACAGCTTACCAAGACAGTAACAATTCTTGAGGTTTACAGAGCTAAAAATGAACATATAGGCCCACTCCATATTCATGAAATTACCAGTGCCACAGGAATCTATCAATGCACTGTACTCTCCTGAGGTTTACAAATATGCCGACTCATTGCTCTCACCACCAACTTGAAAACAGATCAGGCCTGCAGCTCCTGACCGATTCAACAGAAACATTTACTGGCACACACTATAAATACCCATGCAGAGCTGGGCCACAGCGTCCAGCCTGCCACTTCAGAGTGAGTGCATTATTGATGAAAGTGTAAACTGCTGAGTCTCTACTAATGGTTCCAAGGTCAGCATGCTTAAGAGATACAGAATCAGGTTGGAGGGGAGGGGAACCCGCTACCATCAAGTTAGTACCATAGAGACAAAGGCAATTACATATATTTCTTGACCAGCAGAGAAGGATTTTGTTTATATTTCTGGGGAAAGAGCTGGAAAACATTCTAAACTGTCAACTTAAGTAAACCCAAAGCAACAGAGGTGAAATACTAAGGTGGCCTCTTTTTCACATCTCTCCAAACTAAACAATTCTGCCTCACTGTCTTTTAAAGCAAGAATTTCAGTGACTGCATTTAACTATCTGGCTCTGTGCACTAATCCACACTTGGGGTGAGGGATAGGGAGGGAAACCAAATAAAACAATGCAGAAACCAAACCCAACTAATAACATAGAGTCTCAGTTTCATATGAATATTACTAAATCTGATAAAGATGGTACATTTTAATTCTATCAAAATAAATATCTCACTTAAAAGACAAAACTCTCCACCCCTCGACTCCCCAAAGGAAAAGAAAAATCTTCAAATGACATGTAAGTGAAGATTACATAAGGTGTTAATGGTAAGCAATATAATCAAGAACTGCAGAACTGGAAGGACTGCTGGGGACTGTTTATCCCAGCACCCCAGCACCCCTTTACAGAGCTAGACTTGAATACAACCACACTAACTGAAAAAAGACACCAGCTTGCTGTGGTTTTTTCCAACTTTTATCTTATTAATAGATTCAAGGGGTACGTGTTCAGGTTTGTTACCTGGGTATATTGTGTGATGCTGATGTTTGACACCAGCCTATTTTTAAGGGACACTCAGAAAGACAATGTTCAAGATCTTCCCTGGTAACTTTACTGTGTTTAAGAATCCTCATTGTACCAAAATCCATCCTTTCATCTATCTTCAATTCCAATTTGATTGGTTTCATTTTTACTGAAGCATAAAACCAAACTATTTTAGAATCTAAGCCAGATGTGCTAGTTCTAACAATGTTAGCAAAATAAAGCCTAAGAGATAAGAGCTTAGAATTTTTTACTTCATAAAACGACTTCTCGAATCAGCACTTTTTTTAGCAAAATTCAGTTATATTCTTCTTCAGCTGCCAGCTCTACCTCTCTCCAGAAGTTTGGATCAAACTTTGCTTTAGCTCATTAACCAGTTAGGTACTTGATCAGACAAAAATATTTTTGTCACTAAATATAATTTTCCCTCTTTCCAAAGAAAAGCAAAAAAGAACTAAAATTCACATTATGCTTTATTTAAAACATATCCAAGTATATGAGTATTCTACATAACATAAACATCAAAAGCTCTCACCTGGGCCCATAGACCCATCCAGGCCACTGCAGCATCTCAAACCACTCTGGAGTCAGAAGGCCTTCACAGTGGTCCAATGGAGCTGATAGCACATACAGGAGCCTGCTGCCCTCTTGTCCAATACTAATCATCCTCCCCTACCAACTCACACGTAAAAATGAAGCCTGCTGCCCTAGCATCCAACACAAATTATCCTTCCCTACCAACCCTCATGTAAAAATGAAGCCCAGTGATAAGATTTCTGTATAAACTCGACTTTGCTGAAAACTGCACGCTTTATATCTGACCTTGTGAAAAATGATAAAATGGCAAGTTAAAATTGTTATCACAGGTTAAACACGTGTGATTTTCTTATCGACTCCTCTTTTCAGCAAGGTTGAGGTTCTGTCCTCCTTATACACAAATTAAGAGGTATGCACACAAAAGGTCCTTCAAGTAGTCTATTGGTACAACAGAGAGAATCTAAAAAATGTGCCACTTGATGAGATATTACATGTAAACTAGAAATACTGAAGGAAAATATAATGTTACTAAAACACAAACATTTCTTAGTGCTTTTGAAAACCTTTAAGGTTCAAACCAAACTTTGCAGGCAGAAGTGAATTGCTTCAAAGGACAGAAGAGAGAATAACTACTTCACTAAGAAAACAACGGAGATATGGCCGACTTGGGCAACAATTAGGCCCTAGAGTTCAAAGATGAGAGCATCTCCACTGCTGGCAGAAAGCGGGTAGTTCACAATAACTCCGGTAGATTAATGTGATCATAGCGCTCTAGCTAGGACTAATGCATCTTAAAGCAGAGTATTTCCAGAAATAAAAACAGTCACATCTAAATGGAACAAAATATGAGTCTAGGCTGGTGAAAAATCAGACCTTATAGCATCAACAAACAAAAACATATTTTTAGAGAAAGAGCAGCATGCTGTGTCTAGAAATATGAAGTTGCTAATTCAAAGAAAATCACATTGCTTTGTGAAATGTGAATTCTAAAATTCAAATTCTATAAAGTACATTAGTTTTCTCTTACTGATGTTTCGAGATGCGTAGTACTACAATTTTCAATGTGAGCCCAAAATGTTCCCAGCAAAAAGCCTCCCAAGCCCACTTTTCTACCTACTTCCTTATACTGGTTAAACGCTCTGCTTTGCTGCTATCTATCACAGTAAACGGCTTCCAGCATAAAACAGATGTGGGGGAAATAGTGTTCTCTGTTGAAATACATGTGAAAGTCTGGACAAAAGAAACATCAGGTAAGCACAAATAAGAATTAAATTTCCAAAACTTAGTGGGGTGTTAGTAAGTCCCTTAATTAAAGCCTTTGTAGCATCTCCTAGAGGTCTGTAATTGTCTCTGTGCTCAAACGGCAGGACCACTCTGAGGACCTCGGGGGTAATTCCTGGGCCTGTAATCCAGCACAGCACCCAGTCTTTAGCACATTTTCTGGCTAATTGACCATCAAAGAGTTTGTAAGCTCCCTCTCTTGCTCATTGCTAAACACTTTTCACAGTTTCTTTTTGCCTCATTTTTTTTTTTTAAGAGTAGTATTATAGACCCAAAGTTTGGGTAAGCTTTACACATAGAGTCATTCCTATAATTTTAGGGAGCATCGGAAGTAGAAGCTTAAGGTGGTAACTGAGCAGACCCCCTAACCTAAAAACATTAGAAGGCGTTATCAAGCACCTTCTTAATCAGAGTCTTAATTCCTGATCTTAATCCCCCTGCCACTGGCTATATTCAACTCATTCATTTGGTATTTTATTTGGCCCATCTGTAAAAAGTCATCTACTCATACAATTTTTCCCTTTTTTTTACAGTACTAATACATGATGTGAGGCTTGAACCCACATATTGTACTGCTTGCAATCTGGTACTTAACCACCCAAAATTTCTGCAATAAAGAGATAAGAACAAAATATAAAGGGGGGGCAGGGAACACTGGAAAAGGAATGTCCATATGTCACATATATGGCAAACAACAGAAACTATCATCATGAGTTTTAACTACATATAAGTCTCCAACTTCAGGGATGAAATAAAAAAATACAAAATTATATAGATATTGTAAGCCACTGGGCCAACTGAATATACTGTAAATATGTTCTAAGTGACTAATTATGTACTATGGAGTGAAGGGAGGAATAATCATTTCACAGGCTGATTTGGGGGTTGGCATCTACCCAAGCCCTTCTCCTCCCAGAAAAGGGAAACAAACATCTCCAGTGTTCCATTCTGGGGTGAAACTGACAGGGTGGGTGACGTGGCAAAGTGTGGAATGAGACTGGAACCATAATATCCTACAGAGGAGGAACTTCCTCCTGGTTTCCCACTAGTTTTCTGAGAATGCAGTAACAGGAATTGTAGGACTCTGCTGCCAGCCCATCAACATCACCTTCCTTTTCTAAACAATGTTGATTTAAAGGAAGAGACAGCATATAGAGACTATAAAACAAAACACACACTTATCCCACGTGAGCATGGTGTCATTCCTAAGGGTGGCTGTTCTCAAAGTTTTTGAACCAGCAGTATTTTGAAGGCACCAATGGATTTACACAAGGGAAGAGAACTCAAGGGAGAAAACAGTACAATGTAGGTAAGACATTAGCTTATAAAAGGAAAGAAAAAGGTTTAGGTATATG